GGCCTTCAGAGTCCCCCTCCGTGCTCGGGTCTTGAAAGAAATCAGGGTTCAGGTCTCTGGATGTTTGTGTTACCGCTGACTGACTGATGGCTTAACCATTGGCCAAGAGAAGGACCCTGTATTCTTCAATTCAACAGTCATTTTCAAAGACACTTAATTCTGGGGCAAATTAGGACAAAAATAAGCTTGAGTATTGTTATTAACCCTCACCCGAGGATATGTTTGCCATTGATTTTTAGAGAATGGAAGGAAGGGAGGGAAGGGAGAGAGAGAGGAACATCGATGCGAGAGAGACACATTGATTGGTTGGCACTGGCCCAGACTGGGGCCGGGGATCCAGCCTGCAACTCAGGTACCTGCCCTTGACCAGGAATCAAACCCAGGACCCTTCTGTGCATGGGCGGGCACGCTGACCACTGAGCCACACCAGCTAGGGCTAAGCTTGAGTATTTTTGGAAATTAAGCTAACTCTAGGGAATTAGGAGATTGCCTGTTTGTGAAGTTATATTTTTCATTTTTTAGGGAAAGAACTGCTCGAAAATTAATAACATAAGCACTTATATTTATTGTGTACCTACCACCTGCCGGTCATGCTTCACCTGTATTCCCATCTCACTATAATTTCACAATAGCCCTAGGAGTAGGCACTCTTCTCATAATACTCATTTCATATATCAAGAAACCAAAGACACAGAGAGGTTAAGCATCTTAGCCAAGGTCACACAGCTGGAAAATGGCAGAGTCAGGATTCAAAGCATCGGCTTCAGTCCAGAACCCGTACCCCGAAGCACCAGCTACATCAGTTGAAGTAAATTGATGTTTTCAAATAGAATGACCAGGTTAAGCAGCATTTCTCAACCCTTTTTGACTGTGAACCACTCACAGGAATATGTATTACACTGCAGACCAGCGTGTGTGCACAATTCGAACCAGTAAAAACACACAGAACAATCCTCACCCGCCATGTAGGAGGCCCTCTGACTTTTCTATTTCACTTCTAAAAAGTGCTGGCTCTGACCCTTAAAGTTGATTTCATGACCTACTGTAAGGTCACATCTTGCAGAAAAAAACTACTGAAAGTCCCAGATCGAAGCTCACCCCTCGGGAGGCCCCGGTTCATACCCTTTGTTGAGTGGACACCTGTCAGCTCCTTTTACCCCCAGCGCCCGGCACTGTTTGTTGATGGGGTGAATGTATAAATAGATTATACATTTTTATTAAATCTTCCTCCATCTCTATTTTTTAAAAAGCCCCAGGACCCTCTCACTAAGTAAATGCATAAAAAAATCCATTTTTCTGTCTATATCCTGTTTCTTTCCCCAAAGAGCAGTTTACAGAGAAATTGAAACCCGGCTCCAGCTCTCAATTGATTTGGCCGCTTTCTATACATTCTGCCTTTCCAGAATCTGACCTTTTAGTGAAAATAAGCCAAAAGATGGCTTTTCACACCTCTTTCATTTTTCTGATTCTTTCCAAAGACTGCTGTTGCTCACAGGAAAACTGTCTGGTAGGGTTCAGGAGACTCAAAAGTAACCATCCAGGAGTGTCAAGCCCTCCTGATGAGACTGAGGGCTTGATGGGTTCTTTGTGTGAAGACGGCCACTCTCATTCCCTGTTACTCCCACAGCTTTGGGTCTGGAGAGAGGAAGAGGAGAGCTTGCCTTCCATTGACAACCAGACTTTTTCCTGGGGTCACGAACGCTGGGCAGGAAAGTCAGTGCCAGCGACGGAGATGCCAGGACCCAAGAGGGTGACACGAGCCAATTGAACACCAGAGGGGACTAGAGGCTGGACTCTACCAAGGGCTCTTCAGACCCCAGGGCCCAGGCACTGCCCTCACCCAACAGGAGGCTTACTGGAACCCAGGGCTCCAGACAGAAATAGTGTCCTCTGTAGTATGGGAACATTTGGCATTCATGTCACTCTTATTGTTAAAGGGCCTGATTACCTTTAGGAAAACTGTTTTAATCTGGGTTCTCCAGAGAAGACAGAACCAATTGGAGTCTCCCTCCCTCTCCCTCCCTCCCTCTCTCTCTCAATCTCAATCTCTCTCTCTCTCTCTCTCTCTCTCTCTCTCTCTCTCTCTCTCTCTCTCACACACACACACACACACACACACATTCATAAGGAATTGGCCAACGCAGTATGGACACTGAGAAGTCCAAGATCTGCTGCTGGCAGGCTGGAGACCCAGGAGAGCTGATGGTGTAAGTTCCAGTCTGAGTCTGGGTGTGAGTCTGAAAGCAGGGGAAGATTGATGTCCAAGCTTGAAGCCAGTCAGGCAGAGAGAGCGAATTCTCCCTGACTCAGCCTTTTATTCTGTTCAGGCCATCAACACATTAGGTGAGGCCCACCCACATGAAGGAGGGCAATCTGCTTTACTCAGCCAACCAACTCAAATACTAATCTCATCCAGAAATACCCTCACAGGCACACCCGGAATATTCAGTCAAGTTAATTCATAGAAATGAACCATCACAAAGACTCTTGCATATCAGTGCTGCACGCCAAAGTGAATTCAGGAGGAAGTGCTGGGGGATGCCATTTACCAGGACTTATTAAATGGAACGTTCCATTCTCCTTCCCCCCAAAACCAGCACATTGGAAATCACTCTGCTAATTCCTTTCTCTTCTCCAAGCTGTGGCTCCTTAGTTCCAAACCATATGCAGAATTCGAAGGATGGCAGGGAGATCGGTTGGCATTCAAGGCTGCAGGATCCTAGGGTGAGGTTATGTAGTGCCCCAGCATGCACATGCTTTCCCACTGCCCCCCGATGCCTGAGCCAGCCCACCTCCTTATGGATACGTTATCTGATGGGGCTGCTCCTCAACATAACAGAAAGACACGAAGAGAACAGCTCTGCAGAAAAAATGGCCCAGGCTGGGAACTGACCCGCTAGGGGGCAATTTGAAAAGTGGAATCTGAAGCTCTGGCAAGCCCTAGAAAATTGCTATCTTGCTCAATGGGATTAGTTGTCCAAAATGAAGAATATTTTCTTCATATGCCTCCCCTCCTGATTGCTTTCCTTTCACTGCCTGTTCTCATTCCCCTCTTCGGTGCCAAAGGCTAGATGCCACTGCCAGCAGCATCCTGATCATCAGCACAGTCCCAGGCTTGGACACGGAGTCAGGGGGTAACTATGGTTACGTGAAAGCAGAGAGGCTGGACAGGGGATGCTCTTTTAAAGGGAAAGGCAAATGTAAAGGAAGAGTGTGAATTGCATTCACGAGGAAACTCTGCTGTTCTCACATCCTAATTATCATGATGTGTTCATTGATTTATTAGAGTAGGAGCTATTTTTCTGATGGATTCTGGGCTGGTTCTTCATCTCTCCCTTGGATTATCTGTCCTTCTCTGAGAGAGAGCAGTTTTGTGGCCCAGGGTGGGGAGGTGTGACAAGCAGAAGGGTCGGTGCCCAGGACTCAGCAGTCAGCATGGCTCACTTGTTAGCAGGCTGTGGCTGGTTGAAAAGTGTGTGTTGGGGGTGTGGGGGGCAGAGACACATGTTTCAGCCAAATCTCTGGCATACACCTAACCCCGGCCCTACGTTGTTGGAGAGGGAGGAGGGGGGCTGAGCTCTCTGGGGATGTGGATTGGAAGATGTTGAACCACCATGTTGTATGCCTGAAACTTAGTATTTTATGTCAACTACAATAATAAAAAAGCATCCTCCAGTTGGTAAAATATCAGGCCTGTTCAAACTTAAAGTGTAGTGGGTCAGGTGTGGCTGCTGTCCACTGCCTCCCTCCTTCCCTTTCC